GAGAGAAAGAGTGAGATGTGAAAGAGACACATCGATTGGTTGTCCCCTGCACATGCCTCGACCAGCCTGGGGATCAAACCTGCAACCCAGGTATGTGCCCTTGACCAGGAATAGAACCTGAAACCCTTTGGTGCATGGGCTGATGCACCACTGAGCAACACTGGCCAGGGCAGGGACTATATCTTTCTTGTATTTATATCTTTAGAGTCTCTTAGCTGGCAATGATTAGATGATCATTGTCTGGATAAATTTTTTTTTTAATCCTCACCCGAGGACATTTTTGCATTTATCTTCAGATAGAGCGGGAAGGAGAGAGGGAGGGAGAGAAAGAAACATCGATGTGAGAGAGACACATCTACTGACTGCCACCCACATGACCCCAACCAGGGCTGGGGACAAAGTGCAGCTGAGGTACATGCCCTTAGCGGGAACTGAACCTGAGACTCTCTGGTTTGCAGGCTGATGCTCTAACTGCTGAGCCAAACTGGCCAGGGATGGATAAATTGTTTTAATGTACATTTTAAAAAGACATACAGTGGCCAACAGGTAGATGAAAAGGTGCTTAACATTACTAATCATCAGGAAAATACAAATCAAAACCACAATGAAATATAACCTCACACCTGTCAAAATGGCTTTCATCAGAAAGACAAGAGATAACAGTATTGGTGAGGATGTGGAGAGAAGGGAACCCTTGTGTACTGTTGGTGGGAATGTAAGTTGGTGTAGCAACTATGGAAAACACTATGGAAATTATTCAAGAAATTAAAAACAGAACTACCACATGATCTAGCAATCCCACTTCTGGGTATTTATGCAAAGGAAGTAAAAACAGGATATCAAAGTGATATTTGTACCCCCATGTTTATTGCAGCACTATTCACAATAGACAGGGTTTGGAAACAACCTAAGTTTCCATCAGTGAATGAATGGGTAAAGACAATGTGGTAAATATATGCAATGGAATATTATTAGCCATGAGAAAGAAGGAAATCCTGTCATTTGTGACAACATGGATAGATCTTGAGAACATTACACTAAATGAAGTAAGCCAGACAGAGAGAGATAAATACTGCATAGTATCATATATGTGGAATCTAAAAAGAAAAAGTCAAAACCATAGAAACAGAGAGTAGAAAAGTGGTTGCCAGGGCTAGGGGGTTGGGAAAATAGGGAGAAATTGATAAAAGTGTACAAAAAGAAAAAAGTATACATTTTAAGATCACTAGTAAAATTAGGCATTTTTCATAAATATATCTGTCACTTGTACATTTTTCTCATGAGATAACCACCAGTAAAATTAAGCATTTTTTCATATACATATTTATATTTTCGTTTTTCTCATAGGATAAAAGTTTACTTTTATTTAAATGAGTTATACACAGTTGTAGGATTGAATATATTAAGAGACTGACTCAAACATGTTTTTTTTTTTAATTAATTTATTTTTGTTACAGATGTTTCTCCTATTTTCCCCATTGACACCCTCCTCCCCATTCCCACCACCCCGTCCCTGGCTTTGTTTTCCATGTCCATCTGTTATGCGTACACACATATAAGTTCTGTGGTTTATCTCTTCCCTCCCCCCAACCCTCTCTTCTGAGGGTTGTCAGTCTGTACCCTACTTCCATGTTTCTGAGTCTACCCTATTCCTCAGACTGTTATGTTCATTATATTCCACAAATAAGTGAGATCATGTGATATTTGTCTCTCTCTCTGCTTGGCTTGTTTCGCTTAGGATAATACTTTCCAGGTCCCTCCATGTCATCTCAAAGGATAAGAGATCTTTCTTTCTTACAGCCGCATAGTACTCCATTCTGTATATGTACCACAGCTTTTTTACCCACTCATCTACTGATGGACACTTGGGCTGTTTCCAGATCTTAGCTATTGTAAATAGTGCTGCTATGAACATGGGGGCACATGTATTCTTTCTGATTGGTGTTTCAGGCTTCTTAGGGAATGTTCCTAGAAGTGGGATCACTGGGTCAAATGGCAATTCAATTTTTAATTTTTTGAAGTAACACCATAGTGTTTTCCATAGTGGCTGCACCAGTTGGCATTCCCTCCAGCAGTGTACTAGAGTCCCCTTTTCTCCACACCCTCACCAACACTTGTTGTTTGATGATTTGTTGATGGCGGCTATTCTGACAGGTGTGAGGTGATACCTCATTGTTGTTTTAATTTGCATCTCTCTGATGATTAGTGATGTTGAGCATTTCTTCATATGTCTTTTGGCCATTTGTATGTCCTGTTTGGAGAGGTGTTTATTTAGGTCCTCTGCCCATTTTTTAATTGGGTTCTTTGTCTTCCTTTTTTTGAGTTGTATGAGCACTCTATATATATTGGAAATTAACCCCTTATCTGATATATCATTGGCAATTATGCTCTCCCATACAGTGGGTAGCCTTTCCGTTTTGATGATTGTGTCTTTCGCTGTGCAGAAGCTTTTGAAAAACTTTGTCAATTTTCTTTACAATGGGTACCTGTTAAGAGTTATAACAACATCCCAGCCGGTGTGGCTCAGTAGTTGAGCATTGTCCTATGGACTGAGGTCTCAGTTTGATTCTTGGTCAGGGCACATGCCCAGGTTGTGAACCAAATCCCCAGTGGGGGCATGTAGGAGGTGGCCAATTGATGTTCTCTCTCATCGATGTTTCCATCTCTCTCTCCCTCTCCCTGCATCTCTCTCTAAAATCAATAAAGAAAAAAATTATAACAACAGTTAAATTTAGAAAATCAATCATCTTAAAAAGTTTAACAGTTTAAATATTTTTCATACTTGTGTTCATGAAAGCAATGAAAATGAAAAACTCAGGAAACAGGTGATGCTGTTACTAGTTATAATTTCTATTTAAAAAATATATATTTTAGAGAGAGAGGAAGGGAGAGGGAGAGAGCGATAGACACATCAATGCGAGAGATACATTGATCAGCCGTCCCCATCGGGGATCAAGCCCACAACCTGGGCATGTGGCGACCCTGGCAACCCCTTGGTGCACGGGTCAACGCCTAACCACTGAGCCACACCAGCTGGGCTATAATTTCTATTTTTAATACCCTCTGTTACCTCTCTCTCTCTCTCTCTCTTTTTCTCTCTCTCTCTCTGCATTTCAGCTTGTGGTTTTGCAAGGCTAACATTTTCTTTGGTGACAGTTTTTAAAACATAAACCAGAAGAATTTTGTCAGTGACCTCCCTATTCCATAGAACATTTAAGAACCTTTTTTTTTTTTTTTTTTTTAGAAAAACCAGCATAAAGCAGTTTTATTGCAATAATAAAACTTGAAACTCATATGTAGTGTAGGGGAGGAGAATTTCTCTGACCAAATCACTACACAGGATAGCAAAGGAGTGAGAAGAGGGAAAGAAAAGCCAGGGAACTTTGAGATCAGTAGGGGGAGGTAAGCATCAAAAAACAGGAGATGGTGAAGTTGTGATGACCAACATCATTTTCTTAAGACAATACTCAAGGATTTGTCAAGATGACTGGGCTTTCATTGAGTTTTAATTGTCTACAAACAGCACCTTCACTTTAAACTTTCAATTAAAGTTCTTAAAATTTAGGGAGTGGAGCCTAGGTAGCTATGCCATTATAAAAGTCCTGACTGTCAGAAAAAAACACAGGATAGGGGGGAAAAGCTAGGCCAGGAAGAAGGCTTCAGAGGTCCCTGCTGGCCTGGGGACAGATTACCAGTAGTGTCCAACATTGCAGTGAAAATGATTTGCTTTTAAAAGGCAGAGGAGAGTGGGATGGGCCAGTGGAGGCAAGGGCTCTTCCCCTCCCCACTTCAGTTTTGGGTAGCGCTCTTAATTCAACCCAGAGATATCTTTCAACTCAGAGATAATTCCACCCTCAACAGCGCCTCAAATCTGCTATGGCTTCAGCACAGCAGCTAGAATGTTTAATATATAATAGATAAACATGTCATCCAAAAGAATAAAGATTCTTGTACCCCCCTCCCCTGCCACCAATTCCTAGTCTAGTTTAAAGTTAACTCATTACTTTTATTACTTGTGCTGTTAGTACTTGACTAATACTTCATTGGAATCCTCGATCCAAAAGACTGAAACTGAATCTTCACCCCAAAATGAAAACGAAATAAGAGTAACTTAAAAGATTTATGGCATGTAGTTTAGGTCAACACACATAGGAGGACAAAGGGGAAGAGCAAGGCTGGGTGACAGAACACATTCAGTCAGGGCAGATGTTTATACAAAGTGGAGTGGAACATCAGGAAAAGCTTTGTGCCATTCACATGTGCATGTGCACGTTGGGAGCACCAGATCCCTCCATGGTACATCCAAGTACAGGGAGCTCAGGGAGTAGGCCATTCCCATCATTCCAGTTTTAGAAGTTCTACATCAAAGACGAGAGTGGCATAGTCTGGAGAGATAGTCAGTTTAGCTCTCTGATCCACACTTATTTGGGCAACCCCTTCTTCCTAGCCTCGGATTACCTCCTGTTTGCCTAGGATAAACTTAAAGGGCTTGTTTCTGTGCCGGAAGGAATCAAATTTCTTTCCATCTTCCAGCACCCCAGTGTTGCACCACGCAGGTCTCACTGTGCTTTGGGAAGGTGCACCCATCTCTGGGGGAAATGGTCTCTACCTGCACTTCCATGGGGGCAGTGCCAGTGGAGGCCACGGGCAGGCTGGTGGCACAATAGATGGTGTGGCGTGGCTTTGTCTCATCTCTATGCGCTACGCCTGCCAAGAACTTTTTAAAAATTGACTTTAGAGAGAGGTAGGTTGAGAGAGAAACACTGATCAGCCACCCACCAGATGGTCCTAACCCGGGTATGTGCCCTGACTGGGCATGGAACCTGACACCTTCGGTACACAGGATGAGGCTCCAACCAACTGAATCACACCAGCCAGGCCATTTAAGAACTTATTAAAAAGTCATTTAAATTGGACAGAGAAGATGCAGTAATGTGATATTTAGGTACCAGTTGTTCTTTGTTTTGTTATATTGTTTCTTTCTTTGTTTTTGACTTCTAGACTCACATTAATGTTTACCAGCTTCTCAGAACACTTGAAGGTATATTTTTAAACCATCCTTTTGCAACAGTGTTAATTTGTATGCTGATTTGTACCTTATGCGATGTTTATGCTATACTCATCAGAAAGATAACTGCTAAGACAGACTTTTCCTGGCCTGTCTTACTGCTAGTCGGGCCTCTCCAGCCTCTAGGCACCAAAAGGAGGTAAGAGTTTCTGTTTTCTTTTTATTTATTTTTTAGATCATGTAAGTTTATTTGCTATATATCTGGGCCATTCCTGTCAAGAGAAAATGAAGTCCCTGGGTTAGCCAACATGGGTGGTGAATCTTGGGATCTTTGCCTGGTGGTGCTTCATTGATTCTTCTTGGCTTCATTTACATAGGAATAAAGGATTCAGTGATAATGGTGAAAGGCAATATCCTTTGCAAGAAACAGATTCCATTTTATACAGTGTGGCCAAAAGCAGCTTGTCTTCCTTGGTCTCTGGCAGAGGGAGGGTGGACTGGACTGGAACTATGCGGGGACACTTGGGATTTGGAGGGTGCTCAGTTTTTGCTGAGTGATGGCCACATAGGACGGTAGCCATCTTGCTCGGGAAGCTCCTTCCCAGAGCTCTGGGGAGCAAGAGCTTCTATTTTCATTAACGGTACTAGAGAGACAGGGAGTAGAGGGGAGAATTTTGATGGATTTGGCCAAACCCAGAGGGATATGCTGGCTTCTCTGAGATTGGGAAGCAGGGCAGCCTCATGAGCAAGTGATCCATGTAGTTGCACAGGGCTGTGCATGATGTAATGCTCTGCTGTTACTCCCTTGAGATTCTTCATAATTTTTAAACAAGGAGACCTGTATTTTTATTTTGCAGTGGGTCCCAAAACTATATAGCCAGGCCTGTTGGGAAGACCAATGGATAAGGGACAGCAATTGTAGGGACTTTCTTCTCCTCTGACAGGGAGGCCACAGGGATACTTGAAGACAGACCATGGTATGCGTTGGGAGTGATCCCCAAAGCTGAGCTTCGCAAGGAATAAGTGGATCTACCAGAGAACCTCCCCCCTACCCTGGCCCTGTTTTCATGGGGATATAGGAGCTTGAACAGTGACAGTGGTAGACTGAAAAGAAGCCCATTCTCAAATGTCCTGGATTTCATAAGCCACAGAGTTCAAGTCTGAGCTAAAGGAGGGGTCTCCCTCCAAAAAGACAGATTAGGCCTGTGTAGTGGGTTGAATAGGGTCCCTCCAAAAGATATGTCTATCTGGAACTTCAGAATGTAACCTTATTTGGAATAAGGATCTTTGAGATGTAATTAAGGTACGGATCTCAAGATGAGGTCATCCTGGATTATGGTGGGCTCTAAATCCGATGACAGGCATTCTTATAAAAGATAGAAAAGGAGAATACACACAGAGAGACACACAGAGAAAGCCATATGAAGTTGCAGGTAGAGATTGGAGTGATGCATCTTTAAACCAAGGAATGCCAAGGATTGCCTGCAGCCACCAGAAGCTAGGAGGGAGGAACCAGCCTAGAATAACACATTGGTTTTGGACTTCTCACCTCCAGGACAGTTCGATAATAAATTTTTTTGTTTTAAGCAACACATTTTTTTTTTCAATTATAGTTTACTTTCAGTGTTATTTTGTATTGGCTTCAGGTATTCCCCGATATTTCCAGTACCCGCCTGGTACCATACATAGTTATTATAATATTACTGACTATATTTCCCGTGCTGAACTTTACATCCCCATGACTATTTTGTAACTACCAATCTCTACTTCTCAATCCCTTCACCTTTTTAACCCAGATCCCCAAACCCCTTCCTACTGGCAACCATCAGTCTGTTCTCTGTGTTTATCAGTCTGTTTCTGTTTTGCTTGTTCATGTATTTTGTTTTTTAGATTCCACATATAAATGAAGTCATATGGTATTTGTCTTTCTCTATCTGGCTTATTTCATTTAGCATAGTACTGTCTAGGTCCATCCATGTTGTTGCAAATGGTAAGATTTCATTCTTTTTATGGCAAAGTAATATTCCGTTGTATATATGTCATAACTTTTTTACCCACTCATCTATTGATGGGTACTTGGGTTACTTGCATATCTTGGCTATTTAAATAACACTGCAGTTAACATAGGGGTGCACATATTTTTTCAAATTAGTGTTTTTGGTTTCATTGGATAAATGCCCAGAAGTGGAATCACTGGGTCACAAGGCAGTTCCATTTTTAATTTTTTGAGGGATCTCCATACTCTCTATATTATATATGCTGTTGTCTCAGCTTCATTTTGTGGGAATAGAAATACATATGATTTGCAGTGTTGCCTTAGGCCAGAGTTCATTTAAAAGCAAATAAATTGGTTTTTAAAAACATAATTTATTTATAATAGATCATAGCCTCCAGTTGTTGTGCTTGTGCTGAAACTGTTTATTTAGCATACATTTATAAACTCCAGAGTTGGAAATAAAATAGTAGAGTCAGCATTTTACTTTGAGGATGTCATACCAATTTATTTGTGCAAGGGTATTTGCTTTTTAACAGTGAAACTGGATCAGTATAAAAAACATATTGGTGGCAAGGCCCGCGCATGCCCAGTGCAGGTGCAGTGGCCTTGGCCCTGGGAGTGCCTGCCATCTGTCAGGCGAGGAGGATCCAAGTGACCCGTGGTGGATGAGGGGCCAGGCCAGAGTCAGGCAGCGGAGCTGCCAGGTTCTTCATGATGAAAGATTTTGGGGCGCTTCTCTTTCCTCTGTGTAGTTGGTAGTTTAGGTGGTAAAGAGATGGCTGACAGTGTCAAAACCTTTCTCCAGGACCTTGCCAGGGGAATCAAAGACTCCATCTGGGGAATTTGTACCATCTCAAAGCTTGATGCTGGAATTCAGCAAAAGGGAGAGGAGCAGCGTTGAATAAGGGCAAGTAGTGTCCCGGCGCAGAGGAGAGCCCAGAGCATAGAGAGGAAGCAAGAGAGCGAGCCACGTATTGTTAGTAGAATTTTTCCAGTGCTGCACTTGGAATGGCAGAGTATTCTGGTTCAGTCTCCTCTTGTTTTATCCAGTGTTTATTCCTGTACTTCAGTTAGTAACTGCCCAAATGATTGGTGATCTGTCTCTACATGGAGATGTTTAGTCGTGGTTGGAATTCTTTCTCACATCAATTTTCAGTGCTCTTGGTTTGCTTCCCCCGTTTGTACTTAGCGAAGTTGTGAATGCCATTTGGTTTCAAAATATAGCCAACCTGGCATTTGAGGTATCAGAGAGGAAGCCTCATTCACCCATTCCCTAGTGCTAGCAATGTTATTGCTGACATGCTCTTCAACCTTCTGCTTCAGGCTCTTTTCTTCATCCAGGGGGTGTTTGTGAGCCTCTTTCCCATCCACCTTGTTGGTCAGCTGGTTAGTCTCCTGCATATGTCCTTCTCTACTCACTATACTGCTTTGAATATCATTGGTTCAGTAAAGGAATTTAAATGCATCAGCGGTTGTCAAACAGGGAGAGATTGGCCTTAGTACTTTGGATCTGGTTTACCTTTGTGAGGAAACATAGCAATGCAGTCCTCATACATTATCAGTGGCTGCCTATTCTCTGTCCTTTTTCCTTTATTCATCATCAGGGCCAAAGAAGCAAAGATCTCTGGCAAAGCTTACCTTTTTGAGTTGTGTCTCTTCTCCTTGGTGTTCTTAGGCAGCGGGCTTTCCCACAAAACCTGCATTCTGCCCTGTGTAGCTCAACCTCTACAGAGAAGTTGCCTTCACCACATTTGTCTCCTGCCAAACTGAAGGCTGCTGCAGGCCACTGAGTCACCTGCCATCCAGGGGGAATGAGTGGGATTGGAAGGAGGCTGTGCAGCTCTTTCTTCTCACCTCCCCCACCAGGAAAGGCAGGATCCATTCTGCCAAGGGCCCTCTGCATATTCCCTTCTGAGGAATTGGGATTTTTGTCTCTGGTGTATGTAAGGCACAATCCTCCTGACACCAGTATGTGGATTTTTAACACCTGTGAGTCTGAAAGAACCACAGGTTTTTCTGCAGTTCTTTTCTAGCCTTTGCCAGCCCCCATGCCTGGACTGATTTGAATACATTTTCTTCCTGTGCCATCGACCCTCCCACCTGTCCTTCCTGCCTTCCACCACGCTGGGGTGAATGGATTTTGTAGTTCTAGCTTTTGTCTTTTGTGGAGCTGTTACTTTTGTTGTTTTTCTGTGAAGCACATATATTGGATGTGGGAGTTAAGGGAGTATCTCAGTTGCTCCTGGTCACTCCCTTTATAGCCATCACTGTCTTGTTTTTCGTAACTCAGGTTAGATTTTGGTCTCTCTTGCTCCACTGCAAAAAATAAGCCTGAAGAGACGGGACAGGAGGAAAGACCTCACAGCCAGATCTGCTGGGTTTTAAGGAGTGATTTTTCTTCCTCTTGAAGGGGAATAAAGCTTTTTTAACTGGTTCATTTAAAGTTCTCCAACTACAGAGAGGTACCAGTTTTGGACAAGTGCCACTGCAACACAGAATGCTCAGAGAACCTGAACTTCAACTCTGCAGGTCTGAAATTTACTTTCAGCCCCTATCGGGTCTGTCTGATGTTTAAATGGAATATTGGGTGCCGTCAATAGGAACTGAAGGGGTAAACTTATTAAAGCCATTAAACCTATTAAAAAAAAACCAGTATTGGCTAAATGTACTGCTTGAATTGATCTATTTTTATCATAGAACTCTTTCAGGCAACAAACTTGGATAACTGTTTCTTTAAGGGGAATAAAGAAGACTACCCTAGCCAGTTTGGCTCAGCGGTTGGAGTGTTGGCCTGCGGACCAGAGAGTCCCGGGTTCGGTTCCCGCTAGGGGCACGTACAAAAAAAAAAAAAAAGTTAAAAAGCCCTGGCCAGTTTGGCTCAGCGGTTAGAACGTCAGCCTGTGGTTCAGAGAGATCCAGGTTCGGTTCCCTCTGAGGGGGCACGTACCTCGGTTGTGGTTTGTCCCCGGCCCTGGTTGGTTTGTGCGGGTGGCAGCCACTTGATGTGTCCCTTTTACATCGATGTTTCTCTCTCTCTCTCTTTCTCTCTCTTCCTCCCACTCTATCTGAACAAAAAATGGAAAAATGTGTGCTCAGGTGAGAATTAAAAAAAAAAATATATATATATATATATAGCCCTGGCCGGTTTGGCTCAGCGGTTGGAGCGTCGGCCTGTGGTCCAGAGAGACCCGGGTTCGGTTCCC